TAGATTAACTTTCAAATCTATTGAAATTTTTAAAGTTTAAATTATTATATGTAATAATTCAGTTTAAAAGTAGCAATGTAAAATGTGAACCAAAATACGCTTATCTATTTTAGTCCAAATAGTCCTACTAAAAAAGCATGTGTCAAGTGCCTACATTAAAAATGCTTTTCATAAAATATGTTGATTTTTGTCCTCTTGCAAATATAATATTCAATTATTAAAATTTGGAAAATAAACAATAAATAGAAATTAAAAACTCAGTTACAACTGTCAATATTTTGATATATTTCCTTCAAGTCACCTGTCTATCTGGTTAGCCATCTATTTCTCTTTACCTTTATGTATATATGTAAAATTAGGATAATACAAAACCTATTTTATAACTTATTTTTTAATTAATGTCAAAAATCATGAGACGTTAAAGTCTATTTTAAATGAAAAATATTAAAGGATTTTTAAATACATGTTGTCTCTTGAAAAAGTGAAGTATTTGTTAAGCTGAGTCATGAAGGGAAATGTCAGAGTGATCCATGGCAGCTGCTTGCCTCCCTGGGAAGGAAGGGGCCAGTTTAGGAGTACAGTAGCTAGCAAATCCCCCAGCGCTCCACAGTGTCACTACTGGGAAAAGAACAAAGGCCTTTCCAATGCAACTAACACAGATGTGCCCAAGGCAAACTGTCAGAAACAGTTAAGATGACAGCTACTCACAGTTCATTATTTCCTTCTCACAGGTCACTGGGTGACAAGCTGGGTCAGTGTGCTTTGTCAGCTGTCCCAGTCCTTACCCACCCCCTATTCAATTTAAATAAGGGTAAAGGGCTGCATTGGGTAAACTAATGTAAACAAACCTTCCAGATGTTTACAGTTGCTGGAATGAGGCATTATTTTATTTTGGATCACATTTTGAATTAAACGTACACACAACTTACTTTAACCAAGCAAGAAGAGGACCACATTCCTATATCTCACAGATGGAGGAAACAAAAACATTTTAAGTGTGGCAAAAGCAAACAAAAATATATAATCAATGTGAACTATGAACCTTACTTTAAAGACCTTACAGAACAAGAGATTTTCCTTTTTCTTCAATGGGAAAAAGAATTTTTCCACATTACAAAAAAATAAAAACCCAAAAAAATAAAAACCCAAAAAAACCCAAAGAGGATCAACAATCAGATTGCTTTCCATAAGTGTTTGAAATGTAAATTAAATTAAATGATTCTATAGATGGAAGAGCCTGGTGTGTGGTGATGATATATTTTTTTAAGGATATAATTCAAAACAATACATTAATCAAAATGCAACAGTCTAATCAAATCTTTCATGATATAATACACATTCAATTTCAGTAATGACTTAATATGGCTAATCAATATGATGACATTCTTTTATGAAATCAATAGAATGAAAACTACTAGGAATGAGAAATAAAACAGTGGTTAAGAGCATGGTCTATAGATTCAAATGGATGTGAGTTTGAATCTCATCCTTCCCATTAACCAACTGTATGATATGACTGGACACATTATAAAACCACTCTGAACTTCAGTTGCTGTATATTTATGGATTACAGCATCAGAGTACCTCTACCATCAAGTTAGTATGACGGTAAGTAGTCAACCTACCATGCTGTTACAAGAATAAGTAAGTACTTAGAACAGCAGCTGGCATGGCTTTCTACAAATAACAGCTATTAAGTTACCTGTCACCAAATTTAGTATATACAAAGCTGAACTGAACCACAATTCAAGATGAGAAATACTTAAGTTATTCATGACACATCATCATCTAATGTCTAATAATCATATTATTAGAAAGTGGTTTTTAAAAATCCCTAATCCATTCAGGTGCAAACCTCTGTAAACTGGTAAATCTATATGGTTGGACTAAACAAGAAATTAAGGGTTCACATTTTCCCATAACATTTTGTACCTTATTTAGTCTTCAATGAAAGCTGCATATATTGGTATATCTTTTATTATTTCCTTTCTAAACTGTTCCACCTCATTTAAAGGTCTTTTCCCAAGATATCCAGTCAAAATAATAGGACCCATTTTGAAAGGCTGAAGATTTGTAATAATCGCTAAGATAAGAACATGAATGGTCAGGCAGAACAATATAGAAGCTAAGAATAAGACTTTGAGTTCAGATAGGTCTGCCTTAGATTACTACCTGGAAGGCTGAGCCAAGTAACTTAATCTCTCTGTGCCTCAATTCTGTTATCAGTAAAACAGAGATTAATACTACTGTTTCACACACTTTAGAGGCTATTTGGAAATAATGTATGTAAAGCACTTAAGCAAAGCCAGTATATGTTATTAATAATCAAATGTTATCTTTCATTTTCACATATTACCTGCCACTAACAACCAATCTATCTTTCCCCAAATTTGGCTGCTTCTCCTTCGGTTCTCTCCTTCCTTAGTTACTTCTAAGGAAGTATTTGTATTTATATCTCTGTATCTTTTTATTCTTTTCAATTATATAGTCTTTCTTCAGATCAGTTGCTCATTAATGTATTCCCTGATGTCCCCCAAATTCTATTTCCATAACTTAGATAATTGCACATGATTTATTTTTTAATTTTATTCTTTATTTTGTAAAATTATCACTGGTAAAAGCATGAACATTTAAAGCCCTTTCTTGAAGCTGCAATAATATAATGTGCTGATTCTCTTATATTTGGAAAGCATATAAACCTAACTAGACAACTTGAGGTTCAAAGTAATCAATATGCCAAATTCAGAACTATGTTCTGATTTTGCCCAACAATTCCTTCCAAAATGGGAGGAAAGTAATTGCTCTAAGTACTTACTCTACTCAAAATAACTTTGTTAAGGAACAGAAAGAGAGGCAGAGAAACTGAAATTACATCTATTGTTGTAAATTGTGGGGGTGGAGAGGAGAATGTAGATAAATCCCTGTGGCTTTAAGGAAAAAAAGAAGGCTGGAAGATTTGTGGTAGCCTGTGACACAAACCCTGAGGAATGCTCACTAAGAAAAGCGTGCTGGGAAATTTCTTAGGAAATAAAACCCCCAATGTGTTTACCAGTCAATTCCTATTGATGAAAAAAAATCACAAACCTAAATACAGCTCCCATTAAAAGCCCTTTTCTACCTGTACTTGTTTTTAGATCATTTTCATAACTTTGGTTGAGTGATTACTACATTCCTGGAAATTTAAGGACATCTATACTTCTAACTCAAATGGATATTATGGTATGTTACCTGACATTAACTGCTTTGCTGTGTGTGTGTGTGTGTGTGTGTGTGTGTGTGTGTGTGTGTGTGTGTGTGTGTGTTTGCCTCATGTTTCCTAATTCTATATGCTTTTCTTTCAAATTTCCATCATCAGACTATACTCCTTGACACAGCAACAAAATACAGAAGACAAATCCCTTAACTATCCAAAGCCCCCAACCCTCAAAGAAAATATTTCCAGGCTGGGGAAGGAGGGAAACATAGGGAAGTAAGTGAGTTACCCCTGGGGTCCCTGTGTGCTGTCCTATCAGGGCCAGGGCTAGCATGAGACAAACATGGAAGATGCATATAGATTTCAGAAATTTGAGAGCAGAAAGAACCTGTATTTCCTTGAAAAGAACCCAGCATCAAATGACAAGCTCCGGCACTCTCTTAGGAAGGACAGAGTGGAAATGTTTGCCAAGTGAGTCTATAAAGATAAGCCAGCAACAGCCTCATAAAACGGTATTTGAGTTACCCAGTGCTCCACTGTTGGCTGAGTTTCTGTTTCATACGAAAACTTCAAAGACTGCTCCCATGGGATTTATATTCTGGTTACCTGGATGGACGTGGCCCTGTTAACCAGCTCTGCAGAGCATCAGACAATCAAGAACCTAATATATGATTGAGGATTGAAAAAAAAAAGTCCTGGAACTGAAGTTTTCATACAGGTTCAGGATACCCCCATCCGATGATACAGTGAGGTACTAGATTTGTTGTCTGTCTATGCCCTATCTTACTCAAAGCAACAAAATCAAAGGATTAGAGATTTAAATAACAAATTAAAGAGACAGTAAATTGAAGGATCACTTCTGTTATCAGGAAAAAAAAAGTCCCCGTCCTGTAAAATCTGAAGCAGTGATACGTAATTTAAGAATATAAAATGGCTCTCCTGAAATGAAAAGTTTTTATGTTGCAGCACCTTAAGTTTCACTGTGGTGTGTGCTAACTATATTTCAACAAAGCAGAAATTTAAAAAAAAATAACTTAAACTTTTTTCATGCAATTTACATTTCAATCTATACTTACAATATTTAAACTTAGGAATTATCTTAAATTTTATTAGGTATGGTAACTGTATTACTTCCTTAAGAGTATTTCAGTCAACAGCTAATTTCAAACAATTATATACTAAAATTGCAGTTTATAAAGTCATTTTGTGATTTATAACACCAAGCCCCATAACATGATAATAATAACAAAAATAATAAACATTAGTTTTCCAACTAAATAAAGAGAATCAGAGAAATAGTTTCCATTTTCCAACCAAAGATGATTTTCTATTGGTTAGCAAAACCATTAATGTTAATGTTATTCTAGTAATAGAAATCATGTCAATTTGTTAAATTGTCACTACTTAAGATAATCTATTATGTACTTTTCCTCACATCTAAATATAATATTCTCCTCATGGAACATACAAAAGACTCTCTGTGAGCATAGCCTTCTTAAAGACCTTTTGGTATTTTCACAATCGGATATACGCTTAGTACCTAATTATGTTATTTTAGAGTGTTTTAGTGAGGTTCTGGGACAACAAACCTTCTTAGACATACTTACAAACAATACCATATATCAATCTTTAATGAAATACTCATGTCACCTCTCTTCATCAGATGTGACCTGAAAACTACTATGCAATGAAAGCCAAAGGGCTTTTGAGATACTTCAGTAATCTTCAAGAAATCAATCTTACAAGAAACTGAAAGAAAACATCGAATGTCATTGTGCAATAAAGCTCCATTCTGCCAATGTCCTACCTCTGAGCAGAAGCCTTAGGATGTTTCTCTTCCAGTTTCCTCACCAGTGCCACTGTCAGCTGCCCTGTTTCCTCAAGAGAAACTTCTGGCATTAAATTGGTGTCTGAAGGCACTGTCAGTTGCTTCAGACCAGAGATGCTGGCACTTTTTTGCAGAACCTAACAAATGAAATATAGGAATAATGTAACTAATTTTCATTGAGTGGAAATACCTAAACTATTTATGTCAAAAATTTAACATTACACTTTTCATGGTTCCTTGAGTCTTCTTTATCCAGCACATAAATCATTTGTATCTAGTCAGAACAAGAGATGGCAGTCCTAAGAAAGGCTAGTGGGTCACCATTTATTTAATAATGTTTATATAAATATACAGAGATGTTTAGGTAAATATGTGCATATAGATGGATGTGTATGATTTTAAACAATCAGTAACATTAAGATGTGAATCTGAACCTGCCTCCTGAAAACAACTTGAACATTTTTCTCTTTTCAAAATACATCTTAGAGATCTGTTTCTGTCTTGCCTCTGGCTCACTGCACTGACCTCTTCTGCTAAGCTGCTGCCATGCTCCTGAGGAGCGGAGGTCCAGGTGCCGTGGTGAATGTGGTACTCTGTCTGTGTCACATCCATGTGAGCATTTAGCTCCTCTAGGTAAGTCAGAACGAACTGAGGATAAGCCTGTAGAAAAGGAAAAAAAATTAAGTTGTACCAGACTTGTAACAACAGCCGAAAATCTGCACAGCTAGAATGATGGGAGGATAAATTAGATTAATAGTTAAATGGTTTGGCTAACATACTTTGCACTTTATTATCTATTTCAGATCAAAATGAAGCCAAGGAACTGTAATGTAAAGATTTCTAATTAGTTTATTTAAGCTGCTCAAGTTTAAGTGGATTGCTAATCTTCACCCTTACATAAAATTAAAATCATTAAAGCCATCTCTTCTATTAATACTAACAACTAACATTTATTGAGTTATTTCTATATAAAACATGTTATCATAACCACATTACATGGACACAAATGTGCAGTTGGTATATTGTTTGGGAGTAGTCAGTTCTGCCCTATAAGACAAGAAAACAAACGGGATGGATGAAATTCATTATCTGCATTAAGCATAGATATGAAGTTCGTAACCTGAGAAATGTCAGACAGAAAGTAAGTGAAGCATATATCTATGAACATAGATAGAAAGAAGTAGAAGGAAAAAATAAACATTTAATAGTCATGATTTACTAAATAACAAACAAAACAATAGTAATGATACACTAAATATAAATGAAGCATTTGAGACACACAATGATCATGAGATCTTTAACTGGCCACCCATTGCTAACTCTCATTTTGCATCCTTTGCCAGTTAAAACCCACAGCTGCCCTTCAGGCCTAGCTGGGGAGCACAGAGGTTGGCCAAGTGTACTTGCCTACTATCTCTCTCATGGGGCAAGTGTGTGCCATTGTCTCAGATATCTTGAATATGTTATGCCTGTAAACTTCTGTCTTAAAATGTAGAATGAAGTTGTAACAAAAAATATAAGGAGGTCTTCAGTGCATGAAGGGCACTTGGGTCCTAATATTGTTCTGATAAAAAGAAGATACTGAATTACTTTAAAGGTTATTAGAAAATGTATAACTAAATACACATGTTAAAGATATAAGAGACTCCTCCAGAACCTTAAATGATATTACTAAGTAAAAGAAAACAGCAGGAAAATGCAACCTATTGTATACATATTACAGCTATATGACATTCTGGAAAAGGCAAAACACATTAAAAAAGATCAGTGGTTGCCAGTGGTTAGGAGGGGGAGAGGGATGAAAAGGCAGAGCACAGAGATTTTTAGGCAATGAAACTATTCTGTGTACTATAATGGTGGATGCATGTCACTTTACATTTGTCCAAACCATAAAATGTACAATGTCAAGAGGGAACCTTAATGTAAACCACGGGCTTTGGGTGATGACGTGTCAATGTAGATTCATCAATTATAACAAATATACCACTCTAGTGCAGGAAGTTGGTAGTGAGAGAGGCTGTGCATGTATGGGGACATGGAGTATATGGGATCTCTCTGTACTTTCTGCTCAATTTTTCTGTAAACTTAAAACTGATCTAAAAAATAGAGTCTATTTTTAAAAATGTAAGAGACTTTACCAAAAGAACAAGTGACAAAAGGAAAAATAGAATAAATAGTATTACATCCATATTTAAAACTCTTGTGTTACAAACAAGGTCAAGGGAAAAATGAAGAGACAACCTACAGAATGGGAGAAAATATTTGCAAATAATATGTTTGTATCCTGCATATACAACAAACTCTTACAACTCAAAAATAAAGACAAATAACCCAATTTAAGAAATTAGCAAAGGATCTGAGAAGACATTTCTTCAAAGGAATACAATTGGCCAACAAACACGCGAAAAGATATCCAAAAGCCATTAAGGAAATAAAAGTCAAAATCTCAGTGTGATACCACTTCACACCTTCTAGGATAGCTGTAATAAAAAAATACAGAAAATAACAAGATTTGACAAGGAAATGAAGTTGGAAGCCTTATATGTTGATGATAATAATATAAAATGGTGTAGCTGCTTTGGAAAACAGTTTGAAAGTCTTCAAAATGTTAAACACAGAGCTATCATATGACCCAGGAATTCCACTCCTAATTATATAACAATGAAAAATGAAAACATACATCCACAAAAAACTTCTATGTAAATGTTCATAGCAGCATTATTCACAATAAGCCAAAGTAGTGGAAACAAACAAAAAATCCATGAACTGAGAAATAGATAAGTAAAACATGATATTTCCATACAATGGAATATTTGGTAGTAAAAATAAATGAATTACTAAGGCATGCTACAGTATGGATGAACTTGGACAACAATGTGTAAAGTGGAAGAAATCAGTTATAAAAGAGCACATACTATAAGACTCCAATATATGAAATGTTCAGCATAGGCAAATCTATAGAGACAAATGGGACTGGAGGTGGAGACAGAGACAATGGTGGGAATAGATGTAGGGATAAGATATTTTTTAGGGAGAACAAAAATGTTCTAAAATTATGGTTTTAGGTTGCAGAGATTGTGGTGATAGATGCACAACCCTGTGAATATATTGAAAAACATAGAATGGTACACTTCAAGGGGGCAAATTGTATGGTTTGTGAATTATATTTCAATAAAGCTGTTTCTTTAAGAGATTCAGTAAAAAAATAGAAATACAAAATATAGGTTTGAACCAGCAGAGAGTTAAAAAGAGGGGAGAGAGTCTCAAAAAAGCCTGGAAAAGAAAAAGATACAAATTAAAAACATGGTAAATAGAAATTTCTATTGATTAACCAATGAATAACTATCAAAATGTGCATTCCCTCTGACTTAACATATACATACATACAAAAATGTTCACTGAAGCATGGTTCCTACTTGTCTCACTGTGCATCATCAAGAAAATTTTAAAATAGGGAGTCAATATGGATATTAATATGGAGTGATGGCCACAATATGTTATTGAGTAAAATAACTGTAGGTCATGAAGTGTTTTTTATATATATATATGTTTATACACATGTACACATACATATATATATGTAATTTATTTATAATTAGATTTCATATATATTATTACATATATACATAATTGAATACACTATTAATGATAATCTTTGAGGAATAGGTTTAGAAGTTACTTTTGCTTATTTTATTCAGTTCTGAATTATTGGAAGGCATTCTGACAACTAACATACTACTTGTATTATTTAAATGGAAACCATACTATACATGCAAATATGTACATAATTTATGAGAATATACACAAAAATCTTCTGTTTTCACTAACTCTGGGAAATTGGATTAGTGTTTGACAAGAGATTTTTCAAAAATATTAATCAGCATATTTAAAAGATATTTTTATCATGCACATGAATAACTTATTTAAAAATATTTTTAAAAGACACAATTAAAAATACCATCTTTACTGTATATATTAGAGAATCTTGGAAAGTTTGTAAATGTGCATTCTCTCTAACATAACAAATCAGTTAGTTAACCCAAAACATTACCAAAGAGAAGTTTAACCTAACAGAACTAGGATTTCCATTTTACCTTGAAGGTTATGTGATATCTATTGCATTGTTAGTTTTTCTTCTGTCAGTTCTTATTGTCTTAAATATGTTCAGGACAATTCAGGTGAAGTGAATATGATGGGCAATAGAGAAGCAGATTATTTTACATTGTTTCTACAGTAAAACATCAAAGCCAAAATTCAGCAACAAAGAGCACTATATTTTCAATATGAGAAGAAACATGAATAGCGGGATATAATATTAAATCCATTCCAAAATATCAGAGCATCAAAAGAATCAATTTATAAAAAGCAAAATAGTGACACATTCTGAGACAACTAGTGTAAATGGCCTGGTCTTGATTCTGGTAATGTATACCCCTTATATTCTGATAGTACTTTCATGTTTCCCATTCTCTGATAGAGGTAGAGATGTTTTACCTCTTTACTTCTGAGGTATATTCCCCTCTTATTGGAAAGAAGGCATACCTAGAACATGGGAAACTTCAATACATATCTAAAGAGATGGATGAGGAAGTGCCCAAAAGATAGAACCATTATGTGTCTGAACATTCTGCTAGACAGAATAGAAACAAAGACAAAAAAAAAAAAAAAAAAGACATGGCCTTTGCTTCCTGGAGTTGATAGCCTAGCAAGGTGGCCAATGCACACAAGTAACACAGAGTAACCAGTGCCAGTACCTATCCTCCCATGATGCATTTGGAGACATTTACAAATTATTCTGGCATTTTCCTTTTGGGATCATTCTGGACCATTCCTTCCCCAGATGATGGCTATTCTAACATTTTGATACCATAGTTCTTTAGTATTCTCTATTTTATATTTTGGATAAAGTCATCTTGATCTCTAACAAGGTACCTACCAGTTCAATATTCAGACCACCAGTAGAAACAACTCCCTTCTCCAAAATCTGGAATTCTAATCTTCTCTCCTAAGGAGTCAACAGCCTAATCTTTTGGCTTTTCTTCCTCTCCAGTGTACTTGCACATCACCCTAAATTGACAGCTAATGTCTTAGCCCTCATTATTTTACAAGCTCATCAGCCCTTTGGGCTACACTGAATTCTTCTTTGTAATTCACTTTTACCACTTTTAACAGAAGACAAGTTTTAATAAGATACAACTTTGATCACATCATTCCCACTTCAAAAATTTTAAATAGTACCCTCACTATTAACATCCTATAGTCCTATTCTGGTTTCAAATTCCAACTGTGCTATTTACCAACTTCGTGACCATAGTTCCTCTTCATTGAGGGATAAATTTTCTACTGAAGACTGAGTAAGAATCTGCTCAGAATTTCACACTAACCAAACTCACTCTCCAGGTACAATGGCAACTCTGGTTTCTAAAAAAGTTGCCATCCATTCATAAGATGGTCTTCAGCCTAATAGGGCTGGGAGTCATCTTCATCGCTCCCTGATGTTCCCTCCGTCGGAAAGTCCATGTATTTGCCCTCACTTGGGGCTCCAAAGGACTATTTATGTGCTCACAGGAAATACAGCAGGCAGGTCAACAGAATCTCACCTGGGATGGTTTAAACTGTAGATACTCTATACCTTGGTCAGTGCATGATAATGCATAGTT